AGGACTGGTTCAGTGGAGGTGAAGTGAGAGCAGGAGTGGGAGGATGCTCTGGAAGGTCAGAGTGCACACATAAGCAGGAAATTACATGAAATGAAACCAAGAAATGAAATCCTCCTGGATGGGGGAAACTTAGGAATATTCTCTGCTATTCTACCTTTACAAAATGTCGACTGAACCATTTAATGATCACGTTCTGTTTTCTGGTTAAACAAAGACCAAAGAGACTTGTTACCCAGCAGAGTTGTACTACACTGCCTTAAGCATTCACACACACACACATAAAAAATTTGGATTTAGTAACAACTAGGACTTGTTTTCTTATCTGATCTTTATTTGTGCTTTTGAGGAATTATTTATGGAATTATTTATTATTTAGGGAATGGAAATTCAGTGTAACTCAGGATCTCTCTACTACCAGTGAATGGTATTTTCAAAAAGCAGACTGTTGAAATGTACTGCTTTGAGACAGTAAATGAATTACCTTAAGTATCACTAGTGAATACAAATAAAATTAGCAGTAAAACAAAGATATTTGCAAGAAACACCCTACTTAATGAAAAACAAAAGCAGAGCAACTTTGCTCCATTACAGGGAAGAAGTAAATTGTATTGTTAAGAAAGCATTTGTATTTTAAGTGAGATCTACCCCAAGTCTATGTATAAACCAGCAAATTTATATAGTTTTGGACGCATAGTACAGCTCTGGGATGCTCACAGCTCTTGAATCATTGTAGAGTTCCACTGACATCAAACAGATACAGGACTGCACTCAGTCTGTGCTCTCCCTACAGTCTTTTGAAAATTGTAACAGCTTTACCACACAAATCAACAGAGTATAAAGCAGGATGATATTACATTTCAAGACAAAAATTTACTTATTTTTATTTCAATGATGGATCAATCTACTATTTTCCGCTTTTTTTTTTTGTTCACTTGGGTAAGGAGGATTTGACTCTATTGAAGTCTGTTCAGTCAGTCTGGATTTACATTGGTAAATTTTTTTCTGAGTTTGTCCCTGAGCAATAATATTCCTACTTTTATTTTGTAACACAGCATCAATCATAATACATAAGGATGAGTGAACTGAAATTAGAAATAAAAGACTAATAATGACAAAACATATTAACAGAAAACTCTCAAGTTCCTTTGCATTCAGGAAAGCCGTGCACACTTATTATCAAAACATGAATAATTAACTCTCAGTTCTTGAGCTATTCTTTAGAAAGAAATGATATGGAATATTATATGTAGGCCTTTCTCAAATAATGCTGTGAAGTCCTAATCTTACACTTCAACTGCAAGCGAAAAAAATCTGTATCAAGTCCTGATTTTCTACTCCATATCACATTCTGATTCTCATTCACTGCCATTATAATGCATGTTAAATTCTGCACAACAGGGAATGTTTAATCTAAATGTAATTCTGTCCCTGCCCTTCTCCCTTGCCATGAACATTTTTATGAGGCTTTGTAAAACATTTTAACTACAAAATATAAATTTGGAAGTTAAACTACCTAAAGATGTCTTTTCACCTTTCAGTTATAAAGCTAACCTAACCAAATGAAACTTTTGCTTCTGCTAAGGACAAATTAACTTTTCTTTCTTCTGAAAAATTGTTATTGAAAATGACTAACAGAGAGTAGAATGAAAACAAATGCCCAAACATTGTGTAATTGTTCCTCTAAGCACATCCGGGTTGAAGAACTCATAATTCAACTAAAATCTAAATTCTACTTGTGGTGGTATTGGAGAAAAAAAATTCACTGACTTTGGAGAGATTATTTGCATAACAGGGGAAAGGAAGATTTTGTTGGACAACAGAAGATGAGAAAAGCTTTCTAAAATACAACAAATTTTTGAGATGATTAGAAAACATCACTGCTTTACAGATTCTGTTTAACTGCTTTACAGATTCTCTCTCATCCATATACAAATGATCCAAAAGAGAATATCACAGGCACTTAACAAAGTCTAGTTTCAGAAATACAATAGTACCAAACAATTTTATTAATATTTCATACAAATTTTGAAGTCAACACTGACTAGTATTTTGATGTTGATGAAGGCAAACAAAATTAATAAACAATAGGTTTCTGTGTTTTACATTGGACTGGATGTCATAAGTAACTGTCTTAATTATAAACTAACCTAGAATAGTAATGACCAAAACAGGGTAAAGCCAATACATTTTTTTTCTTTATTTCAAAATAGAGTGATTATAAATACATTCTTGTTATATTTCCTTCCTAACTCTTTGGATGCAACCAAAAAAAAAAAAAGTCTCACTGTGCTCATTTCATACAATATCAACATACAAATCATGCAAAAGATATTATAGATATTATACCACCATCGAGTTCTGGATGTTTGTTCTTGATTCTGAAACATTTGTTAACATTATTCACAAGGCCATGCCTTTATAATTTATATCATCATTATGGCTTTAAAAAAAAAGAGCATTTAGAAAAGATATTTATACTAGATTGCTGCATTATTGTCGATCTTGAACACTAAATGCAAAACATAAATCACCTGTTCTTGTGTTCTTGCACCGTGGTATTTGCTTTCTGATAAAATTGCACAATTTTTTTTTTCTTTTTCAAGGAAATTATTACACTTTATTGATTTCATTTAAAAATGGAAACTTTTTTATAATACAATGGAGACAACAGATGATGTTAACACCTTCACTGGTTTAGCTCATGTCTATGGGTCTTAACAGCCATTTTACAAGCATGGCCACTCAAACCAACGTAATGAACAGACAGACCTGTTAAACCACACCCAAGAGTCACCTTCTGAGAACGACTGACCAGAGATTTGAATGGACATCACACTGAAACYGCTGTGCAGACACATACACTGCTTCAAAACATGGAGAAAAATAAACTGACACGAAGGTTGCCATTCAAAGGAACAATTTCACAGAAAAATAGTGTTTTGCCAGCTTCTGCATTCTTCACCCACACTAATAGGCCTACATATTGCACCATACATTGTCAAACACTTAGGAACARTTTCTACAGGAAGGTCCAGATTGTGCAACCTTTAGTGATGCTGGTGAAGCTACACTCAACTGCATAACCCCAGAGGAGTCTATGGATTATATACAATGGCTCTGAGCTGGCTGGGTTTGAATTCAATGACAAACCTCTATCTTAGCCCCACTCCTGGGCAGGTATCTAATTATTACCTCATGAATAGCACATGATTTAGGATGAGCTTGAATGCTTTACTGGATTGGGATTCAGTGATCAGGAAATTCTGACCCAGTGTAATAGTAYAGCATAGTGATCCAGTTCTTCTTTGATCAGCAAAGGACACCACTCCAAAACCCAAAAAAAATGCAAACAAATGAAGAAAAAAAAAAAACTAAACCAAAAAGAACACCCCCCAAACCCCCCACAACATAAAATAAAATTTATTTTATTCCTCTTTTTTTTTTTTTTAGCTGAGGAAGGTATGATAATTTATAATTGTTCTTCTGACTCAGGGCCACACAAATCATAAGCACATCAGTTKTATCATCACTAAGTATTTGTTTGTTTGCTATTTTTAATAATTTTAACACATTCCTCTCAGGAGGCTCATGCAGGACATGACCGTGACAATGCACTGAGTGTGTCAGTGCATTTCTTGGGCAAATCCCAGGGAGCTCAGACACATCCTCAGGGCCACRGAGCACAGTGCAGAGCAGCCCCAATGCCCTGTGACCCTCTGCCATCACCTGATCAGTGCAGCACAGACACTCCTGAACCCACAAACAATAAATTCACACGTTCCTACCCAAACCTTGGCCGTGTATTACATCATTGGACAACCAGGAAATTTTTATGCATGCATACACAGTATCCATGTCCTGAAAATCCCTATGACATTCTGAATCAAGTTAATTATTGTGCATGGATAGCTGCAGCTCTTTGAGAGAAACTCAGCCATTAATTTATCTGTTGTAATTTTATTATCTGAAGCCATGTATATACTTTGCAGTATGGAGAAAAATAATAAAAACTGCCTTCTTTCCGAGCCACAAGAGCATAAACAAATGTCTGAAAGTAGAGAAATGTTTTGTTTGCTTTTTCTTAAATAAAGAAGCATTGCTTTTTTTTGGGTTTTCTTTTTTTTTTTTTTTTTTTTTTTTGGTCTATGTTGTTAAAAATATACTGCAGGCTGCTTGCCAAGTATCATTCCAGAATAAAAATTTCATCTCAGTGTCATAAAGCCCTGAAATTAGAGGTTTATATTGGAAATAGCTGACACAGCCTTCTCCACAGAATTATTATTGAGCCTTGCTCTAATTTTTTGCTAGCTTCAGATTCATGAAAAACGTTCATGTTTATATCCTACTGTCTTAATTGACTTATATTAATTATAAAAGGTAGAGAGGAGTAAAGGTTCTGAAATCAAAGGAGATAAGAGGGTCTTATCCAGACCTCATCAAGTCAAGGAAACTTTGTTAATGTCATTGCACAGATTTGATACAGGATGCTTTACCAATATATCTCCATTCTCATGTCAAAGCACCATCCATCAGTGAGATACAATGGGGATTTTCCATTCTCCTACCTTTTTTTTCCTGGCTATTCAGACCCAGCTTTCAAAAGGCGAGCTTTTACTCTCTAGTTGTGACTACACAGTCCTCTGAACTGAGACCACTATATCCGTTTTGCCCTGTGRTTTTAGACAGGATTTGCCTTATTGTTCACTGCTCTGATCAGCTTTTGCTGACTAACAGCAGCCAGAGAGATAATAAGAACAGAAAACTTCTGCATATACAATCAAAATATTCCTCTTAGCATGAATTCCTGTAAATACTTGTGGTGAAAAGTATTTCGATTAAGCTGTAGAGACCTGAAAAGCAAGAAAACTGAGGGCAAATAATTGCCTGAGACAATACTAAAAAAACTAATGAATCTATTTTAAAACGCACCATTGGTAACAAATCTGAAATAAGATAATATGCTAATCTCACAAGAATAGTACAGAACAATTTTATTATTATTATTATTATTATATCTGATCACTTAATTCTGGACGATGCTATACATTACATCCCCGGTTGCTGTTTGGTATATTTGTCTGGTTTTATTTATACTGAATGATTAATGCATTGTGATCAGGAAAACAAGTCAGGCATATTAAATACATATTAAGGAGTACATATTTTTTCCTATGTAGTATACAAAGTATTTCATAAATATGAATTATATTACAAAAATAATTTCTGCTACGCTCACACAGTAAGCACTTTGACAATTTTGGACAACCTGTTGGGGTTGCAAGAGTTTCACGTAACTGAGAAGGAACTCTAGTTTTAATTGGAGATGAGTCTTAGAACAGATTCTGCATAAACATCAACTATTTTCTTCAGATGTCACGAATACTGCAGAAGTCAGGTCGAACTATTTTCTTTCTTTTTTTTTTTAAATTTTCTGTGTAGACATGTATGCTTCAGGTGGTCAGATTTATTTCATAGGTATGTAATGCATGGTATATTTTAAACAAATATTTGCACAATTTAACATTATAATTCCAGTGGTTTCAAGATGCAGCCCATAAATGTAACCAATTTACACATACTATTGAATGTTCTCTCTTTGCATGCTTGTTACTTTCCAGATAAGCTTTAAACAGTGCCATTAGAACACCACAAATCAAAGGATTACTCCAGTTCCACCAGCTTAAAATCCACGTGCAGGATGAAGGACCCAGCTGAAGTACAAATATCAGTACCAGGTTTCTTGTGTTTGTTCTAACAAAGCACAAGGAGACGATGGTTTGCATTTAAGATACAAAACATATATGCCTCTTGAGGTTAAATTCAGTGTAACGTGTATAAAGCATCCCTTTGGCAATAGAGTTTGCAGTATCCCTACAGGATTCCACAGGGCATGAGCTTTATGGAGTAAAATCTATTAAGGAAATTCTCCTCTACTTGACAAATCRTACGCAGCTACAGTTAATCAGACACCCTTGGACACACCTGCCTCTATGCCTATCAATATAATATAGTATTTGGAAGTTAAAAGTCAACAAAAGGCACTTTCATCATTAAATAAAKGTCCTCTGTAGGCAATAAGATTGTATGACCTATATTTTATTCAAAGCTGTTTGTTCTTCAAGGACTTGTAGGTAGTCAGGTGAACCTTGAAGCTTAGCTTTTAGTTCAAAATATTCACTTTTTCTTTGTTCTACTACAATTTTACTATGATTACCACCTATTAGAGATTTCTTGTTTTTTTTGTCTTGCAGTTTCTCTGGGTAACGTATTTCAAAGCCACTGACCCCTATGCTGTTGTATTCTTTTTTACTTTCCAGAAAATTTTGAATAAATACATTGGAATCCCTTCCAGGGAACAACTCATCCAGTTCATCGATTGTGCTAAGTCTTTTTCTGSTATCCACATGCAACAAATCTTTCTCCTTGTCATTCATATTTCTCAGAATGACTTTTTGCCCTGGTGGGTCAGCAAACGTGAAGCCTGTTTCAGACTCTTTCAAGCCACAGGTATGACTTTTGCTCATCTGCTCAATGGTTTGAGGAATGAAGGCCTCTGCACCCAGTCCATCTTTTTTGTTTGCCTTGTGATCGTGCTTTCTCAGCTGCAGCTGCATAGAACTGCACTCCTGGTTTCCAATCCCTTCATGCTTTACAGTTGGTTTTTTGTTGCGCCGAAGCACAAAAACAAGAAGACAAAAAGCAACAAACACTGTTAAAATCAGCACAACCAATATGCTCAGGATGAGGATGGACAATGGAACTGGGCCACCAGGAGGACTCCGGACTGGTCCCGGCGGCGTTGTAAAAATAACAGCGGGCATGGGACTAGTGAACAGAGCAGATGGCTTGTTTAAAAGTTTGGGGCAGAGAATCTCATTTTTCAGAGACTTAAGTTCTATGTTAGCAAACTGCACGGGTGTTTCACATTTCAATTCCTTCACCACAATACCTTCATTTAGCTTTTCAAGCCACAGCTTTAAAGCAACCAAATCACAAGTGCAGTCCCAAGGATTACCTTCCAAATCTATTTGTGTAAGAGATTTTAGCTGATCAAGAACACCACTTACAGGTAAATACATGAAGTGATTGTTCCTCAGATTCAGTCTAGCAAGTGGTGCACCAGCAAAAATGTACGCTGGCAAGCTTCGCAGAAGATTGTTGTTCAGGTAGAGCAACTGCAAATTTGGCATGAGGTCAAAGGTGCCTGCTAGGATTTCTTTGATAACATTGTATTCCAAATACAGATATTGCAAGTTGTGGAGGCCAGCAAACATCTCTGGGCTCAGGCGCTCTATCTGATTGCCGTTGAGATACAATCTCCGTAAATTTGTAAGGTTGCGGAAAACGTCCCCTTTGATCACTGAAATCCGATTGCTGCCTAAATGTAGCAAATCCAGCCCCTCAAACTCGGCGAAATCTGTAGTATCCACATCCTTAATATAATTGCCATTTACATGCAGTTTCTTGGCATTTGCAGGTTTGGGTACAAGTTCAGCCATCGATTCTATATTTCTTTCTTGGCAATTGACGCTTAATCCCAAGTCCGAAGGATGAGTTTTGCAAACGCAAGGGACCGGACAAGGAGTTAAAGGAGGCACCCTGGTCTGGTAAGATACGATCTGACTGAGGCTGCGATTGGACAGYGCTTTGCCTGCTACTATCCCCGAGATCTTGGAAGGATTTGTAGTCTTTGGCGGCTTTGTGACTAATCTGTGCACCGATGTCTGAGTGGTGTGGCCRTTGGGCGTGCTGTAGCCGGGCTCCAGCTGCGAGGGAGGCAGGATGCGCACGTCAAAATCGCTCCCTGTCCCCATGGAGCACAGCTCCTGCTTATTGGTTTCCTTCAGCAGCCTTCCGTACAAGTCACTGGGTGTTTCACAGATAGCCTCTCCAATGTAGATGTTGTAGGGCATGTTCTCCAGCCACGCTTTCAAAGGCAACAAATCACAGGTACAATTCCAGGGGTTGTCCTCCAGCTGCAATTCAACAATTCGCCCGATGTGCTCCAGAACTCCAATGTAGGGAAGCTTCTGTATTCGATTCCCCCGTATATCCAGATGGGTTAGAGAAGCAAATCGAAAAATATTATCGGGAAGGAATGAAATCAGATTGTCATTAAGTATCAGGACTTTCAGCTTGTGAAGCTTATTGAAGGCTCCCCGTTCAATAAACTTGATTAAATTGTAGTCAGCTTGGAGATACTCCAAGTTCTCTATGCCAAGGAAAGTGTCAGCCCGGAGAATCTTTAATTCGTTGTTRTTCAAGTGCAACTGTTTTAGTGCACTAAGACCCATAAAGGCCCCTCCCTCAATGTTCTGTAACTTATTATTACCCAGTTGCAAGGACACTGCATGTGTAAAATTAAGAAAGGAATTTGGATACAGAATAATTAGCAGGTTGTTTTGAAAGTTGAGGTGGTAAAAATTAGACCATGGCGGTTTAAGCTGATTTGGTCTGTAGACTGCAACCTTCTCACAGTTGACATAGAGTACATTCTCAACTGACACACAGGAGCAAACATTGCAAATTTCCACAGATATATCATCATCTGCAGTTGTAGAAGAAACTGGAGATGACAGAACCAGAAAGAGCCACAGAATCATCTTCTTGTGATCAGCAAGCAACCTTAGGCTCCTGAACAAAGATAAAGAATCTAAAGAAGAAAGAAGGAAAGAAAAAAGAAAAYGTTTTTCAGTTGACATTGTTCCAAAACATCGTTTGGGTTAAAAATCGTATACCACTGAGCTACTGTACCTGCCAAGGATTATGGATAAACTACAAGAACTGAATTTAAAACAACATGAAAGACTTTAACAACCAAACAAGTGCACGGGAGCTAGGATGATTTCAAACACGGAATGTAAATTTCTGTAGACAAACACAAATAACTCTCAGGTCTGTCAAATATATTTCTCTCTCTTGTACATGCCAAGCATGCATAACTAACAAAGTAAAATAACCAAAGGAGATTCCAATTTTATGCATATTTACTCTCCTCAGTCCTGCRCTGCTCATATGTTGCTGTGCATTTCAGGGATATTAAACACAAATGCTGATGTTATGCATGTCCAAAAATCTGGGTTGGGATAGCACAATACAGAAAGAATGAAGATGCTGACACAAAAAGCAATGCCAAGGCTCAGTATAAGTATCTGAAGCATCAACACGTACAGATTTATCACCATGATAAAGATATTCACTCAAGAGCTACACAGGCATGCACACACATTGTTTCTGTCACTTCTGATACCTAGTTTAAATAAGTAGGTGGTAAACTGACTGCAGAAACACAACCATCCACAAAACAAGATCAGCTCTGGGTGACCAATGGAAGCACACAGACATGAAAGAAGCATACACAGGCATACAGCCCCATCCCCAGGAATAACAATACACTGACTTGYAGGGCACAACAAAGTCACAATTCGCCTGACACTACTGAAACCTGAGAACAATTTTTTTTTTCCCCAAAAAACATTATGTAATTTGCTCTTATTCCTGCATTGATAAGAACCCTTTGCATATAGTCAGGCCAGCTAAGCTGCCATTTTTTTACGCAGAAGAACTGGAGCCACAGCATTTGCTGTGAGTTATATGGCAGCTTTTTTTTCCTTTTTTTTAGCAAATCAGTCAATAATCAATACATCGCACACACACACCCCATATTCCCATTACCCCCACTTCCCAACTTGTCCCTTTCATTTCCTGCTGTGGGAAGCCACTGAATTGGCAGGAGGGAGCCAGAATGAAAAGTRGAGAAAGCAGGAGCCAGCTGGAGGGAGGAGAACCGGGCTGGAGGGAGGCACAAGGGGACGATGTGCCGGGAGACTTGGAAGGGAGGGCAGAGGAGGGATGAGGAAAAGACCGCAGGACAGGAGGACAAGAGAGAAAGGGAAAGCACAGATGAGACAAGGAAGGATGAGAGGAAGGGATGGCTGAAGGGGTCAAAGAGGCCGCTCAGAGGGAGCACAGGGGGAAGGGGTGCGGAGCAGCCGCTGCCGATGCCCGCAGGCTCCCGACCCCGTCCGCAGCGAGCGCGCCCCCAGGGGCGGACCGGTGCCCCCGCTCCGCCGCCGCTCCATCGCCCTCCCCCTGGCAGGCTCCGTCCTCCCGTGTCCCTGCCTCGCCCACGCTCCGGTCCCCTCTGGTTCCTCCGCCGCGGGGCCCCGGCCGGTGCCGAGCGGGCAGGCTGCGGGCGCTGCGCGGGGCTGGCGGCGGGGCGGCG